AAGAAATTTCTTAGATGAAATTTCCAAATAACATAAATTGTTGCTGATGAAAAGTCAAATCGTTCCCTTGCTTTGATAAGGAAAGAAAAATAAACTTATAAGTGAATTTGCTTGTTTAAATATTCATGATTTCATTTTCCTATAATCGTTATCGTGCAAAGAAAAATAATCTTACTAGCTTAAAACGTCAATAAAATTATTTAACTTTTTCTAAATTTATATCCCTCGACAAAACTATTGAAAAAATATGAAATTATCAAATTCTCATTTGTAAAACAAAACATTTTCAACAAAACCTGTCAGCTTTCGAACAAGTATGTAGAAATAAGCAGCATCTTTAGATAATCTGCCGGTATCAATAAGACAAACTCGGCCATTCTTCCACGTATTCATCTGTCAGTATTCATTGTAATGCATGGACCTGTATTCGGTTACAAAACCAGAGCTCTCGTTATCAAGTTCTTGTCACAACATGGCGGTTCCTTGTTGATTATTGATACCAGAAGCAGTTTAGTGGTTTCTCATTAATCAAAATAGAATTCTCTTCGAACACGTTGAGAGGTGGTCCAGCGAGGCTACCACTGGTTTTACACCTTCATATCCCGATAAAAGCAACTTTAAATGAGACGTTGGCTTTCATTTTTGCTCTAGAGCGACAACAAACCCTGGTACTTTTTATCATGTATGCATTTAAGTTGTTTTTGTCAGACAAGTGTTTGACGTTGTTTTTTTTTCCATTTTTACTTCTGACCTTGTACGACCTTAAGGCGCGGAGCATACCCAAGGAATTCCAGGTTTTGATACTAAAAATGAATTATGATTGTTTTCTATTTATCAATAATGATGGTTACTTGTGAAGATTGCAAACCATGTATTGGCAAGAAATAGAAAAACAAAACAAAGATTATTATAGAAAGACCATCTGTTCTTCACACGGTGAATACATCGCATTTATTTCTAGGTGAAAGGTTAATGATTTTTATTGTTTATACGTTGAAGTTGTTTTGCCATTTTAAACAGCAAGTTGGTGTCAATTTAATTTACCCTACATACAGCTATAGGTTATAACGATACTCAGATATACCGACAATGTTTTATCAGTTAGCTAACTAGTTATTTTTATTCATATGTCAATCGATAAATTTCGATGAACTTGATATTATAAAAGACACCAGAGTCTCTGCCACATCTGTTCCATATTTGGATGTTTTGCTGTCTATAGACGACTAGGGCCGACTACCAACTAAACTGTATAACAAATGTGATGACTTCAACTTTTCTATCGTCAACTCTCCTTATCTATGTATTTTAATTCCACTTTCACCTGCTTACGGTTTAAGTTTGTGTCTCCAAGTTATTGGCTACTCAAGAGCTTGCTCTGAGAATGACCAACTTTTAAAACGAGGCAGGCTTTTCACTGATAAGTTGATGTTACAGGGATTTCAACAATCTCGTTTAATGTCAGTATTCATGAATGTTATGGTCAATATAATTATTGTGTTATTAAATATGGCCTACCATTATGTCGTACCGTATTCCCCATTTTCAAAAGTGAGTTATCTCCCCTCAAAATCGGAACTCTTCAACACTAGCATAACTTCCGCGGACTACATGTTACGATAATCCAACAAAATAGTAACTTACACGCTGTATTTAAAAATTTTAAAAGAAGGAAACGGTGTGCTTTTTTATAAGATAATAAATTATTTTATAAATCGTTTTAGCCCCCACCCCCTTTCTAGAAAGCTATACGAATTAGCCAGGCACGTAGCATCGTCTTTAAAAGTCGGGGGGGGGGGGGGGGGCAAGTTTGAAAAGAAATATTTTTTTTTACCTGGAAAAGTTGGCAAGCAAAGAAAAACCTTGCCCAAAGTTGAAAAAACTTATTTCAGTACCAGTTCCTTGGCATCCAATATACATTTCCCTTATATAACTTTACCGTAGTATAAACGTGTGTGTGTTAGATTTTAAACATTTTTTATTAGAAAAAATAATATTGGGAAAAAAGTGGGGGTGGGGCTAAACCCCTTGACCCCGCCCCCCCCCCCGCCCCCCTCCGTGCGTACAGGTACAGAGAATATGTAAATGGGTTGAACAGTTGCCTATCCATAGTTGTGAAAATTAAAAATTATTGATTTTTTAATTGTGAATTCAATAAAATTACGGTACATATATTTGTACATGTATGTCAGTTACAGGAGTCTCTCTCTCTCTCTCTCTCTCTCTCTCTCTCTCTCTCTCTCTCTCTCTCTCTCTCTCTCTCTCTCTCTCTCTGATTGTTTTTTACACACGTTGCAAAAAAAGAATAACTTATAAAAATAAATACATGTACTTACACTGAAAGGATTTTAAAAAAATAAATAACACTTGAGAAAAGATTGTTTTCAGTTAATTAACGAGAAATACGCTAGGAAATTATTGTATCAATTTCGTGTTTCTGCTCTCAATTCTCTATAAAACAAAATGTGTATTTTACGCATGGGAATATACATGTACATATGGTTGATCCTACACTAAAACTTTGATTAAATGCAGCTCAGACTTTATTAATATGTAACAAATATAATCGATGCTATTTTAAAGTCAAACATTGTTACATGAGCTGCACATGAGATTAAATTATTCATTTAGAATTCCATTCAAAGTTTTAATACTATATAGTGAATCAATTATTTTACAAATTTCTAGAAACACGGTTAATTCAAATGAATTAGGCCTTTAATTGTCACCAAATGTGTTCTTGTAAGTAAAAGTTCTATGTTATTACATACAATCGAGCAAAAACGCAGTTTTTTGGTATCGGTCGCGGAAGTACGAACTACTGCTGTATATATATGCAGCGTTTTCAGAGGTAAAACTGTAGATTGACATGTCATCAGTCTCCAAATAATTGCTAGAGATACAAAGAAAATATGGCTGCAGCAGACTAGATTAATTCGTAAAAACTTTATAACTAAAAATTTGTTCCGCACATTTTGTAAATAATGATGATGTTATCAAACATCCACTACCGAAAATTAGCTTTTTTTTTTTTTTTTTTTTTTTTAAATAGGTATATTCGAACTATGTATACGGCATTTTATCAGCCTTAATTTGTTTTTTTTTTGTAAAGGGGGGAATTTCACACACAGCACCTTATTATAGTACTACACAGATTAATACAAATCCAGAAAGAGACTATGAGTGGGCAATTTAAAAAAAATACGAATCAGTTAAGATTTCTTTTTATTCACAAACACAATAACATTTTTCGATATGACAGAGGCATACACCATGAACATGTTTACATCAAGAACGTCCGCGGAAGTGACTTTATTTATAGCGCATGCGTATTAAACACAGGAAAAGAGTTCCCTTCAGGGGAAATAACTCACCTTTTGAAAATGGGGAATATTGGCTGACTTGTTTCATGCCAATTGTACTTCTAGGCCTTTGTTTTTTAACTGAATATGACTACTGCATGATCAATAAATACGGCTTAAGGCGGTTAACAGGGGGTGGTCACTTCTCCTGGCACCTGATCCCACCTCTAGAATTTTTAGAAGTCTGTATTTTATGTCCTTTTCACATAATATTTGCATTGTTTATTGACTTTTTTTCTCGTTATTTTCACCTATTTTACAAGTATCATAAACAAAATTCTAAACGTAACAGAATAATCTCATTTATATGCCAAAAGGAAACTCAAAGAAAATGACATCAAAAGGGATGTTTAAAATCATTTAAAATACCCGTGCTTTAGTTACATGTGCTGATTTTATTGCAGACATTGAACGTCGTTTTTACAATAGAATGAACTGCAGGTGCTGTTGTGATAAGATCTCGTAAAATAAGATGAAGTAAACACAAATTACCGTCATCAAATTTGATACCTGTTTGAAAGAGGTTCATGTCTTGTTTATGGGCTACTAAGAGGTTGTAATGGTTTCTTATTACACTGTAGCAAAAGTTCAGAGTATTCAGACACGGTACTCAAAACCAGGGCCACCAACTACCCTCTCTCTCTCTCTCTCTGCGTATGTCTTGCAGACGCAAAACATCAACAATTTCTCAAAAAGCAAAAACAATATTTCGCACTTTTCCAAAATGAGTTTATTCAATTAGGAAAGCGGATTAAAAGTGCTTAAACCCTAAACACAGGAAGCGCATTTAATTAGTGTCTACAGACCTAATTAGACGTTCAAACTTCCCATTTTTTAAACAGGATAATCCACAACACAAGTTATCTTTGACATGCAGAACTCAAGCATGTCACGGTTCGACGACATTGAGGTTCTAGTTAGCGCGGGACACGTGAGGAGATGCTATCGCGCGCGTGGATCTGCTCGGTGGGGTCGATTATAAATATTATTAGTTAATAATAAACTGTTAGCTAAAAACTATCTTCTTCAATGTAATCGAATTGAAGAGGATCAGGATTTAAGTCGCAGTCAATATATTAGATTCGCAGTTCTTATCTCATAATACCAGTAGAGGCTAATTACTTTACGTAAACAAGATTCTTGTTGAGACAATCCAGATCATAGCGAACTTCACTTGAATTTGTATACATTCTAACGTCTACTTTTATCCTAACGTTGTTGACATTTTTCTTTCTTCATCTTTACGTCAAAATTACGCCACGTTTGAAATGAAGACATTGCCTACAATCTTGTCCTTGAAAATCTGAGTACATTTTGGTAATATTTAAAGGTTCCTTAAATCTAGGACTTTGAAAACTTATGTACCTTGTTATACAAATATCCATTGTACCTGGCAATGAATGAGCAGTTTCGTGACTTGATCGTGACAGAGAGAAGAGGTGTTAATGGCTGAGTCCCCTCAATTCTATCAGCAATTGCAAGATTGTGTACATATATAGACATGTAAAATATCGGTGTCATTTTTAAGTGTGGAAATGCTGCAAATAAGTTACCCAGTTTTAATTTATGGAACAACCAGACGTGTTTTGGTTGCAGCCTTGACCTCTAGCGTGCGTGGGTGGGTTAATTAGTACTCACCTCGACAGGTACATGACTGTCTTTTATATCGAGGTTGGGAATGCGTGTAGAAGTTGGGTAGCTGCGCCGTTACTAGTTGCAGTTTCTACAAAAATAAAATTTTAATTTTGATTAATTTAAATACACGTTTTCCTTTCCTTTTCTTGAAAGAACAACATACTGTATACGGTTTCTAAATCCTCAGACTATTTTGAGCTTAATCCTACGGAAATGGAATAAAATCAAAAACCACGATAATGCTTTTATATACAATTCAGAAATAGTAATTTACGTGTTGTTTTTTTTTTACTTGGATAATGCAGTATTGATATGGCAGGTATTTCGGACATTTCATTCTCAGCATAGGTCACTGTTGTGCGCTTTATAGATACATGATATTGGGCTCCAAGAGTCGGACACACAGGTATCCCGTATCGGAAAAACTCAAGTACTGGTAATTAACGTGATGTATATATCCATCAGTTATTGAGGATATATCTAAGCTTATATGTCTGCTGAAGAGATTCTTATCAGATTTACTCCACATCGCTTCAAACAAATTCTATACCGTCTCTTCGCGGTTACTGAACAAAATTTATTTCCTTGAAATTGCTTCAATGGAAATCAAGAAAAATCACTGCCATGATACGTACCTTGGAAACTTCCTCTTCAACTTTGCTAGAAATTATATTCTCTCTTTCAGATTTTAATAATTGTAAATCCACTTCAAGTTTGTCTACCCTTGACTGAAGGGAGATAACTGTATTCTGATAGGACACTAACGTCCATATTGTAAATCCAAGTAAAATCACCATAAGGGATATGGCAATCCCGGAAAACATCCAAAGAGAGCACCGCAGACATTTGTCTGTCTGTAGTCGTGTCCTCTCAGGTCTGCCTTTCTCCATGTTTATTCTTTAAGATTTGAAATCAAAGTCCTTTAGAATTTTTTTTCGAATGTCGCTAACTCATTTCAACAAAGGCTGTAAAATTACTCCACCACTTTGTAAATCCATGGAAGAGAAGTGTGTGATAATCCTGAATAAAAGCCACAATCTTTGAGAAGATGATTTGATAAAAAGCCCGTTTACTTGGGTCGCATGTTCCGGTCCTATACACACTGAATGAATTTTAACTCGGGATACAGGAATCGAATTTCACCGTTTTCTGACGATGTGTCGCACATTGTAAACATCTATTATATCCAGTCATATTAACTATCTCTTATTAAAATAATATAATGGGATTTCGATATAGTTCTACAAAAACTCCTAAGCTGCTATCCGCCGTGATAAAATAACACATGGTTTGGTCGAAAACACAGAAAGACGGCAATGTTCCAGCATAAGAATCTCAGAGAGCAATAGCGAGCCTGATACACAAAATATTTAACTTCCTCCTCGCTATCAGTTATCTTTTATTTTTTAAATCAAGATCTAAAAAAGCAAGCTGTGATACCTCCGATTTGACAACATTTCATTGATTTCATGTGGATGAGTAATGGCGGCATAATGGGACGATTGCGGCGCAAGTTTTGAGATATTTCGTGAAATTTATTGTTCTATATCATAACCATGCACACCAAAAACACTAGGAACATCTGTAACACGGGAATAAATTGTCAGAGCTGCCAACTGTGCAATTCACACAAAACACCTCAAGGTGCATTTGCAGTATTGTCGCTTTCCAATCCTTAATACCTCTAATCTGGCAGCATTTGATTCAGGTGCCAGGGTTCTATGAGAATGCGCCTTTGGACAGTATAAGAGTAGGTTAGCCAATTTCTCTTGGTCATGCATTCCAACAATTAAGCCAGAATGGGTTCAATGGTCGACAGAGGGATATAAAAAGAAATAAAATATTACAAATGTCAATTTATCAAAAAGTTTGTGAAAACAAGATGTGTTTGAGAAACACTTATGCCCCATATCTTCTTATGGTAGTTTACGGCGAAGGTTAAAGTTTCTCTCGTAGGCCTAAAAGTTAAACTTCGAAGTCAAAGTAAAAAAAAAAATGTTGATACTCGAAGAAAGGACTTGTGTCAATGAATATACCTTACAATTTGAAAACTCAAATGCAACAATCAATTGAAAGTTATAAACAACGGGTTTTTAGTAAGTCAAACTCCAAGGTAAAAGGGTCAAAATGACTTACCAAAAGAAAGGCCTTTTTAAATAAGAAATATACAAGTGAAAAAAGCCCTTGTACAAATTGTTCAAAAGTTACAGCCAAGATTTCTAAGTTATTCAAAAAGGAGGTAAAATCCCAAGTTCAAATTGGTATCCGAAGTAAGGTTTTGTCACAAGGAAGACACTTTTGAAAGCCCTAGTACTTACTGTTCAAAAATCGATAAAAGGTTAAAAACTTTTGCCATAACTTTAGACTATTATAAGTGCTTGGGCTTTCATACATTATTATTAATTGTGATAAGACCTTTCCTTGGATACAAATATTTTTTTTATGAACTCAATCTTAGATACTGGCCCATTTTTTTTCAAATAACTTTGGTCTTGATTTTTGAACAGTTAGTCCTGGGGCTTTCATATTTTGCATGTATATTTTTGTGTCAAAGAACTTCCTTAGGATTTTAACAATTTTGACTTTTTGACCTAAACCTTAGGGTTTGATTTACGTTTGAAATCCTTAACCTTGGTAATATCTTTTGAACAGTTGATAATATGGCTTTTGAAATTTCACATGTTTGTATCCCGAATCAAGATCTTCCTATGGATACTAGTTATTTAGCCATATGACTACACAGTGCGACCTTGGAGTTTGACCAACTTTTAAAAATATAACCATAACCTTACCTTTTAAATGGATGAAGCCTCGGCTTTCAATTTTTACGGGTATATTTACTGAGACGCATCCTTTCTTTGGATAAGAATATTATTGATCTTTGTCATTGACTTTGGAGTTTGACTTGCATTTGAGAAACTTAAATTTGAAATAAGCTGGGAGTATCAGTGTTTCACCACACATCTTGTTTATGTACCATGCCTATTTTGTAAAATGTAGTTTCCCTCTATTGGGTTCCATCTCGCTCCTTGGCTACTGGAATTTTTAAACTACCTGGAATAATTAGATAGCAATCAAAAGGGTTCCAAAAATTTCTGTTTTATTGCATGGAATCATGTTCTCATTGATCTAGTTTGTCTTACAAGTCTAATTAAAACTAAGTATGCCTTTATTATTTGCCTTTCCTTGTGATCTTAATGAAATTTTTTCTTATTCTTTTGTAAAAGGATTAAATCTAGAAACTTGTAGTTACACAATGAGAATTTTATTATGTGTTGTTCTTTAAGAAACATGAATGAATGAAATCTTGAAAGCGTCTCTTATTGAGCTAATTAAAAATTGTAACGTGGAAATTCTGTTATGTTTTTATACACTTAATTTAGTGTTTTATATCTTTTGATTCGTCGTAGATATAATGGCTTTCGTATTTTATGTTCCTTTCCTGTAACAAGGCAATATTTGGATACAACACATTTTACCATTTGATTTTGACACACTTTTGCAAAAATATTACCAAACTTTAACCTTGACCATTACTTTTGAACAGCTGTTGCAATGACTTTCATACTTCACATGTGCATTTATTGTGACAAGACCTAGCTATACCGTCAGGTATAAATATTTTTGACCTTTTGACATTGAACTCAGAGTTTGACCCATTAACCTTGGGCATAACTCTTGAACAGTAAGTATTATTAGTGCTTACGTACATGTATTTCATAGTAATATACCATGTGAAACCTCACTTTGGATACCAATTTTTAACAATTTTGACCTCTGAGATTTCATACTGAGTTGACAGGGTTCCTTTTTAAGTCAGTCGCAAGATTGGGTTGTTTTTTTTTATCGAACAAGATCTCAAAAGTTGCATGTTTCTGCTAGGGAAACTATTAACATTTTATTTACCGTTATGACCATTCATGACAATCTTTGACGTCACGGACAAACCTTTTTTTCCAAAATGATATATTGTTATTTAATCAATTTAATTAGATTGCTATTTGATATTTCAAAAATTATGCTCTGGGGAAATCTTTGAAAGTCAAAGTTACATAGGAAAGTAATTAGTCTGATGTCGTACTTTAATCTGAAATAGCAATAAAATGTGTATGTGAAATGTTGACGCCCCTGTCTGTACGCTCAATGTCAAGGTAAAAAATGTTCAAATGTAAGTCATACTACATGATCAAGAGTTCAAAAATATTGCTTTCAAGAAAAAAAGACGTATAACAATGTTTAAATATGTGACTTACGTATATTATGATAAATATGATAAAGAGTAAAGTTTTAAAATAAAATGTAGGTCATACTCATTTAAAATTTATGGCAAACGTTTACGTTATTCATAATACTAGTAGGTCAAAATCAAAGAACAAGGTTAAAAGGTAAAAAAATAAAAGAAAGATCTAGACAAGGGAATACACGGGTGAATTATAATAAAACATATGGAGATAACGAACTGTATTCAAGATCAAAAGTCCATAAAACAATACAAAATAGGAGCAGAGCAAACACGAACCTCCAAAACATCAGAGGTGGGATCAGGTGCCATGGAGGAGTGAGCATCCCCTGCCGTGTTCTCCTTGTCATGATCGGGAAACAACGGAAAAATCCGTCGTCAATTCTGTGTATAAATAATGGACTTACAATTAGTATGAATTTGACTCATTGGTAAGTTGTATATTTGCTGACAATGTCATTGTTACTTTTCATTATACTACTTTTCATTATACTACTTTTCTTTATACTACTTTTCTTTATACTACTTTTCATTATATGCTACTACTTTTTCGTCGTTATTTGTAGTCTCGATCATCCAGACGCTTGTCTATAACACAAATTCGCTGTTCCTAGACTGGCAGTACGAAATCGAGGATCAGACAGGCAAGCCAGTTTAGGTAGCATAACATTATTTCACTTGGGTTCACGTCAAATCATGGCAAAATAATCTCAGAATCTTCCCTTCCGATTCGGGCATTTTGATACGAGAATGGAGCTGAATTTTTTTATGAGATGAAAAACAACATGTAAACTTCCTGTATTGACCAGATTTATTAAAATTTAGTGCGTGCTGATTTTTCTATATACTGTAAAGAGTGGGGAGTGATTAGGCCCTGGACTAGATTTTCAAACACCTGCTCGACTTCGACCGAAACAAAAAAAATCAGTTAGGTCATTCAAAACATTACTTGAAAAATGCTGGCCCCGGGATCTTGAAACATCTTAGGCTTAAGTCGATCAAAATTTTTATTTTGTAATAAAATGTTGTAAAGTCAAGCACACCAGAATTAAAATATTTTTAATATTGTTTCACAGAGATGTTGTTATGTGCAAATGAAGATATAAATTCCATAATTAATAAAATTGTCGATTAAAAATTTGACTTAAGTCTTAGTTACCGGTATGTTTTTATGATTCTGGAGCCAGGAGTTTAAATTCAATGTTCTTTGTTCATTATTGTATACAATATTGTTTACGCATGGTCTCTTGAAGATATATTATCGATCGAAAGAAATTATATAACATATTATTTCTTTCCGCTTTTTGAATTTATGCAAACCACGTCAGACAAGCTTTTTAGGAAAGCTAATAATTGTAAAGATTTTAGTACCAAAAAAAAAATAGCCATCCAGCAAGGCATGCAAGTTTGTTTCGGTCGAAGTCGAGCAGGTGTTTGAAAATCTAGTCCAGGGCCTAATCACTCCCCACTCTTGACAGTATATAGAAAAATCAGCACTCACTAAATTTTAATAAATCTGGTCAATACAGGAAGTTTACATGTTGTCTTTCATCTCATAAAAATTCAGCTCCATTCTCGTATCAAAATGCCCGAAGGAGAAGATTCCGAGATTATTTTGCGTCAGCCATGATTTGACGTGAACCCAAGTGAAATACTGTTACGATACCTAGACTGGCTTGCCTGTCTGATCCTCGATTTCGTACTGCCAGTCTAGGAACAGCGAATTTGTGTTATAGACAAGCGTCTGGATGATCGAGACTACAAATAATGACTAAAAAGTAGTAGTATAAAGAAAAGTAGTATAAAGAAAAGTAGGATAAAGAAAAGTAGTATAATGACAAATACCATCATATAATGACAAAATACCATCATATAATGATAAAATACCATCATATAATGATAAAATACCATCATATAATGACAAAATACCATCATATAATGATAAAATACCATCATATAATGACAAAATACCATCATATAGTGATAAAATACCATCATATAATGATAAAATACCATCATATAATGAAAGTTCTCCACATAAAGCAGTTAAGGCGTTCCATAGTTTTTGTTCATACGTTGAGCATGCTCTTGCGTATCGAATCAACTGAGATATATAAACTTCGTATGCATATGATGAAAGTATATTCGTATATTCCTGCATAAGTAAGGGAAGTTGTAAAGTTAAAGTCATCACGTTTATCATAGAGTTTGGTTGTTAGATTACCATTAACGTCTTTTTCAAGTAAAATATCCAAATATGAAACAGATGTATCAGACTCTTTTATCTCAAGCTCACCGGGATATATTGAATCGACATAAGAATGGAAATGACCATTATTAGTTGACAATACGTCGTCGATGTATCTAAATGTCGAGTTGAAGGCCACAGCAAGTGTT